ATTCAACTTTTTTTTTTCGTGCAACCCTGCGTTGAGTTGAACGCAATTGTTGAACGCAAAGTTGAATAATGCAAACACTGCTTAAGGGAGCTAAGGGAGTGTCAAAACTCTAATGTCAATAATGAGCAAACCTTTAATTATTGAATCATGACCAAAATGTATTCAACAAAGTGTGACTGATTTTGACATTGCTCTCATAAGAAACAGGCTATATTGTCAAATTAAAATGAATTGTTAACCCATTTGAAAATATTTTTTTTTTTCAAATCTTAATTTATTTAAAATAAATTTACACAAATATTTTTCAAGCAACAAATTTTCTTAATAAACGTGAAATTGTTAAGAGATAAACCGCCGAGGAGAGCAAGTAAGCACATTTAAAGTTTGGTAATAAGTAAATATGTACGTTCGACTTTTCATAAATATTTAATGTAAGGAAACCAAGATGAAACGGAACAAAAATTTCGACGGTGCGCTGTATGCAATAGAAGTCAGGACACGAAAATAGAGCGATGTTTTAAACCACCTAGTTGCGAGTTAAGACAGCAGCGATGTAGTGTTGTACTACGTGATTCATCTCGCGTTTATGAAAACCACTTCAAGGAAAGTGATTTCATTTGTTGTCCGTCCGAGTCAAGCACTTTCAAACGAGCTCGTTTATACCCAAACTATTTCGCATAAAAAAAAAAAATTAATTTCAAAATTGTTAGAGTTAAGCTCTCATATAAAATTGGAAACAAACGTAAAATCATACTTCTATAAGTGTCGAATAATGTTTAGGATAAAAAATTTAAATATAAAAATAAACACACAAAAGCATAAAACTTGGGCAATTAAAAACAAGAAAATTTGCTAAAACGATTTTATAAATAATTTGTTTTATTTTATTGACAAAATATATATATTCCAGGTAATGTAAGTAAAACAAAACTATAATCAAAATAAAAGCCTTGGTATCAGTGCTGACAAGATACATGCATCACTAAGGGTTAATTCGTTTGTTTATACTTTTTGACATTATAGTACCTTAAAAGAGAGCCGCACTGAGTTGTCAATCACACCTTGTTTAATACACCTTCATCATGACCATGGTGGAATAATACAAGGTGTTGGATATTGACAGCGTTCTCGCTCTAATCCGCTATCTTGGCTCCCTTAGCTATATCAGTGTTTCCCTCTTGAAAAAACTACATTTTATCGCCTTTAAAAAAGTACTAAACTACCTCATTCCCTATTCCAAAACCGATTTGCAATCACTGCTTTTCCAACGATATAACTGTTTTTTTGGTAACTTCTACCGCTAAGACTTTGTTGCTTTTTCCCTTTTCCCTAAAAACATAATAGTGCTACAAAGCTCAATAACAATATGGAAACAAATGTTAATAAGCCACAATAATATTGAAAATAAATAAGATTTCACTACGATTGAATTTTCTATAAGTAACAGGGTAGTCGGCAGGCAATGGCAAACCTCCGAGTGTATTTCTGCCATGAAAAACAGCTTCTCATAAAAATACAATCGCCGTTCGGAGTCGGCGTAAAACTGTAGGTCCCTCCGCTTTGTGTGACAACATCAAGGCGCACGCCACAAATCGGAGGAGAAGCTCGGCCAAACACTAACATATGTGTAAGCGCCAATCTATTATTATTATTATTATTAACAGGGTAGTTATAGTGAATGTTTTATTCGATAACTAAAACTATATTTGATGTTTGTAGCGATAAAAATATGCCTAAATCAGCCAAATACCCTATGTGGGTCGGCTGAATCAGTAAAACGTGACAGTAGTTGACTTTTGAGGTTAATATATCGGCCTTGAGTTGGTAAGGTTTTTAAAAAATCCGCAGCTTCCTTTAAAGCATCGCTGCTAATTGCTGAGAAAACCAGATTGTATTTACCGACATAAGATGTGGTCTTGTACGACTGAAAGGTGGCCTCAATTTGTAGAAACCATTTGTCTGTCATCTCAGTTCAGAACGGTCGCCGCTTGCATTGCGATGCAAGCTCCACATCTTTAGTTGGCATTTTGTTCGATGAAATATTCTCCCCATCCGTCGATTCGCCCTTTTGTCGATTCCGTCATGTTGTAACGACTCGGGGTCACCACTAATTTTTTGGTTTTGGAAGTTTGACTATAATTATAGGACATTGTGTTTAATAAACTAAATTACCATTTATTGCATAAGTACTACGTTATATATACTACTTTCGCGATTTTAGCTTATCATAATATACCGTTTGTAACTATTTATATGCAAAATTTTATATGAAAAATAGTACCAAATTTCGTACTACTTCGCAAAGCGGGCTTTTTTTCTTCCCGTTTCTCTCGTGCTTCCATATTACAACCTTTTGTAAGGGAGCTGTCGACATGAGCTGTCACTACGTACAACACCTTGTATAATTCCACCATGATCATGACTATTTATAAGGTACAATCGCTGAGAGCCAACTTTAAGAATTTTGACGTTTGCTAGCACTTTGAAAATTTCTCTCGCCGTCATTTCGCATTTGTTTGTTTTTATTTTCAAACAAACCAAAGAAATATATTTCTGTCGAAACAACAAAATTTGAATATACATACATATAAATAAACGGAAGCAATTGTCTGTAATGGACTTCTGCCCGTATGTTATGGCGAAGCTTTTGGCATGCATTTGAAGATTTTTTACCTTAAGGGCACCGCACTTTTGCAAAGAACTATCTTGTGCTTACATTGGGTCAGGTGGTGTGGCAAAAAATTAGTCGAGCATACATAGGGGCACTTTGGCAAATCCGTTTTCATAACACCACAAACCTCGATCCATTTTTGCTGTATATACGATAGTTGCGGGAACTTTAGATTGCTTTGCTTGCAGAGGAAAAGGAATTTGGGCAGCCGTTAAAGCAGCAACTAATTTTTCGTTTCGAATTGTTTTAGTTTTCTCAATTTCTGAATAAATGAACAGTTCAAATCATAAATTTTCATTTGTTTATTTTGAATTTCTTTGACATTAGAAGCATTTCGAGAGAGAAAACTCAAAATGCTAGCAAACGTAAAAAAACCCAATAGCGGACGAATTGAGCGAGCCGTTTTACCCATGATAAAAATATAGTAAGGTATAACCGCTGAGAGTCACTTTTAAAATTCTTGACGTTTCCAAACAATTTAATTTTTAAATTTACTCACAAACTCACACACACATTTTCATTTTCAATCTCAAGCAACAACAATTTCGAACAATTTCAATTTTTCATTATCACTTTTATATGATTTTAAAATGTTGGCAAACTTCAAAAAAGAATCATGGCCGGCAAATTGAGAAAACGGTTCTACCTTGCTATGTTTTTATCATGGTTTTACCCATGATACAATAATTTCTAGAAGGTAGTTTCACTTCAAAATTTTTGACATAAACCGTGTCTGTGACAAACACGCAATGTGGCCACTGCTACGATATAGAAATTGGGGATTTTCGCTTGTTATTTTAGATATTTTTTAACAGAACATGTAAAGATGTATATGTTTCATAACTGATCACTTAATTTTTAATATAAATATACGTATTTAATACATAAATTTTTGCCACTGCTAATCACATGACTAAAAATCATAAAAATGAAAGTATAACGGCAATATTTCATGTTTATAATGGATTAGATCCACCGCACACCACGGACTTTATCGGCCGCCGATTTAGATGGACTCGCTAGTCTTTCCATTGCACCACAACTTATTTCTCGGAGCGATTAAGCGGGTGTAGTGTGCGCACCTCAATACATCTTCCTGTACATATTTAAAGCGAGCCCTATTATTTAAATAGGCGGCCGATAAAGTTTGTGGTATGCGGTGGCTCTTATAGCTGTATCCCTACATCTATTCCGTGTGTTGCAATATCCACGAAAGCAGCAGTTAATTTTTTATGAAGAAAATTATTAAAAAATATTCGAAAATTATTATTTAGTTTTCCAACGTCAAAGCTGGATTTTTTTTTAAGTTGGTACAACAAAAAATACGAAACACGTTTTCTGTCAGATAGCTAATATGGCGGATAAGAAGAAGAAGTGAAACTACCTTCTACAAATTATTGTGTTTTACCCATGATACAAATATTTAAAGGTAAAACCGCTCGCTCAATTCGTCAGCCATTGGGTTTTTTTTTTGACGTATGCTAGCATTTTGAGTTTACTCTCTCGAAATATTTCAAATGTCAAATAAATTCAAAATAAACAAATGAAAATTTATAATTTGAAAATTTATTTATTCAAAGGGAAGAACTTAAAGTTTTATAGAAGCAAAATGAGATGCTGCTTTAGCGGCTGCGCTAATACCGTTTTTACCTGCAAGCAAAGCAGTATAAAGTTCTTTCAAGTTCCCGCAAT